CTAAAGATAATTCAAATAAGATTGTAACAGTACATCAAAAGGGAATTGCCAGAAATTCAATTTGGATTCAGAAGAGGACATGGAATGAGGGATATCATTGCTAGTGTCAGACAGATCTTGGCTGAAAGAAGAGAATACTAGAAAGATGTTAAGGCTTTTCACTATGTGAATCATAACAAACTATGGATAACATTACAAAGAATGGTATTCCAGAACACTTGATTGTGCTCAGGAGAAACCTGTACATAAACCAAGAGGCAGTCATTAGAACAGAACAAGGGAATATTGAATGGTTCAAAATCAGGAAAGGTGTGTGCCAAGGCTGTTTCACCATACTTACTGAGTCTGTATGCTGAACAAATAATCTGAAAGGCTTGATTATATGAAGAAGGATTGGAGGAAAACTCAGTAACAGTCTGTGATATGCAGATGATACAACTTTGCTTTCTGTAAGCGAACAGGACTTGTACTGATAAAGATCAAGGACTAAGCCTTCAGTATGGGTTGCACCTCAATGTAAAGAAAACAAAATTATTCACAAGTGGACCAATAAATAACATCATGATAAAAGGAGAAAACACTGAGGTTATCAAAGACTTCATTTAACTTTGATCCACAGTCAACACTCATGAAAGCAGCAGTCAAGAAATCAAACCATATATTGCATTAGGCAAAACTGCTACACAAGACTGCCTAAGGTGTATCTGACCCAAGCTATGGTATTTTCAATCATGTCATATGCATGTGAAAGTTTGACAATGAAAAAGGAAGACCATAGAAGAATTGATGCATTTGAATTATGGTGCGGGGGAAGAATATTAAAAGTACCATGGACTGCCAGAAGAACAAACAAATCGGTGTTAGAAGTACAGCCATAATGCTCCTTTGAAGTCGGGATAGTGAGACTTCATTTCTAATACTTTGGACATGTTATCAGGAGGGACTAGCCCCTGGAGAAGGACATCATGCTTGGTAAAGTGGAGGGTCAACCAAAAAGAGAAAGACCCCAAATGAGATGAATTGGCAAAGTGGGATAGCAATGGGGTCAAGCAAAACAATGATTGTGAGGTTGGCACAGGACCAGCTGTGTTTTGTTCTTTTGTGCATAGGCTCTCTATAAGTCAGGACCAGTTTGATGGCACCTAACAACAACTAATCTTTAGTGAACAATTTCATGCTGATAAAATTACTCACTACTGTCTCACTGCCATTGAGTTGGTTCCAACTCATATCAA